CTACTTTTTCTTCCCTTGCATACCAGTATTTTTATTTTACTTTTATTTATTTTCATACAGTACCTACTGTTTAACGTTTCCTTTTAATCTATTTCGATATAGGATTACAAAATAAGATATCAATTTCATACTTAAGTCTGTCCTGGGGTGTGGGACTCCTGTTTCTCCCCAAAACTTCGTCCAATTCGTCCTGAACTTTTTTCTGTATTTCAGGATACTTAAGCATGTACAGCATGGCAAAACTGAGAGTGTTACTAGTCGTTTCTGATCCCGCCATCATCAGGTCCAAACAAATCGACAACAACTGTTTTTCTACAACAAATCAACACGTTTTTTTGATTTCATTAAAATACTAGACACAAGTGGAAGACTTATTGAGCACAAATTCTCGTTTTGCTAGACGCATAAAAAAATATACCTGTAAATGTGTCCGATTGGCCTTGCAATTCCGTCATTTGTTGTAAAAATGCGTCAATCAATCCTCTCGAATGCGTTACAGAAAACGTTTTCTTCTGTTCGTCTATAACCTCCTGCAACACACATTTACGTTCCGTTGGTACCGAAAAATGGCCCCGGTTGTCACACTTACTTCAAGAAATTGCCACGTTCTCTTAAGGATGGCGTAACTCTGCTTATAGCCACTGTATTCGGGGGCAACAAATCTTAAAAAAGGCAACTGATTAACGATGCCCCCTCCGAAATCGACAATCCGAAAAGCGTCGTGGATAATGCTCAACAAACCGGCCAGACGGGGATTATCCAAAGAGAACCTTTCGCCGGCTAGCAAAGCCCATAACACATTCAAAACACTGATATCAAACGTGTTGTTTATCGTTATCGGTTGGGCACATTTGCTCCTTAAACAATCGACTAATTCGCGAGCTTCTTCAAACACAATTAGTTCCATGTCTTTCCTTCCTAATCCGAATTTTCGTAGATATTGCATACAAAATTTTCTCTGTCCCTTCCAGAATTCGCCGTCCGACAGGGCGATACCTAAAAGGGGTAGGTACAATGCCGGATTTACACTAGGGATTAGTATTCATCATCATCATCATAAGGTCATCAGTCCTAAGACTGGTTGGACACCTACCGCCACTCTTTCTTATCCTGATCTAATTTTCGCATTTTCCTAAAGCTAGAGCAATCCATATCCTTAACTATTTGCGAACAGTAATCTAATCTAGGTCTACCTCTACCCCTCCTGACTCCCGTTTCTGCCTCTAATATGTCTCTGACTAGACCTTCATGCCTGAGAAGGTGTCCTACCAATCTATCTCGCCTATTTTTTATTGACTTCCATAGAGTCCTCTGTTCTCCTATTCTTTCCAATACCTTTTCATTTCTAACCTTTTCTACCCACGATATCCTCATCATCCGCCTATAACACCACATTTCGAACGCTTCTAACCTTTTCTTTTCCGCCGCTCCCACTGTCCATGTTTCGCACCCGTACAACGCCGTGCTCCAAACATATACCTTTAACAATCTTTTTCGAATTTCTAAATTAACCGTTCGCGAGCATAGAAGTGACTTCTTTTTATTAAAGGCGATACGACCCTGCGCTATCCTCTGCTTTATATCCCTACTACTCCTTCCGTCCTGACTTATCTGACTTCCTAGATACCTAAAATCAGCCACTTCTTCTAATTTTTCGTCTCTTATCTTTATATTCGCTGTTTCCCTACTTTTTCTTCCCTTGCATACCAATATTTTAGTTTTACTTTTATTTATTTTCATACAGTACTGATCTGTCAGTACCGCTTCCATTTTATTTAAAGCTATCCCTAGGTAATCCTTGCTAGATGCTAATACTGCTACATCATCTGCAAATCTAAGGATACTAATCTTTTGCCCTTGCACATCTATCCCTACAGTTAGCATTCAGTTACTTACCCAGGGCGGCACTAAGGGAAAGTCCGGCCCTGGGTATGTACCCGTTGTGAATAGACATCCTGTATATAAAATAACAATCGGCAAAAAGCTTTTCTTCATATTAACCTTTCGTATTACAAACAAAAGCATAAATATTTCGACAAAACGGTGACCCCAACAGGTCATTTCGACGATAATCTTAACTTTCAAATTCAAATGGCACTAAGTGCCCACAAACGGGCCTAATAATACTAATAGTAATAATAATAATGAATACTAATCGAAATACTCCAAAAGAAAATATTTACATACTTATTATAACAGATACAATAAAAAATGATGTTCTAAAAACGATGTTAGGGTCAACGTTCTTTCAATAAACTAATCGACCTCATTAAGCCCTTCCGGACCTCTTTTATAAGAAAATTTAAAAAATATGACGAAATGTAAAAAAAGAAAAAGAAAACTAAACGATCGCGAAACGTAGGTCAGTTTCTGCAAAAGTTCCAGACATTCGCGAACGGGAATCCGCTCCACCAAATCGAAACTGGTCCTGCACAACATTCGTGAATTTTAATTTGTTAACACGGTCTTGTGTAGAGACTGTCACACCAGTGGTGGTTTCTGGTTTCAAAAGTTGGCGAAGAATTGCAAACAACTGAAAAGAACTAAACCTACAGTTAACTATAGTCGAGACGATCAAAGTTGGCAAAGTCTTATTTCCACTTGGGACGATAGTCATTTGTTGCGTTTTGAACACGCCCCTGACAAGTTAGGAAATGCTTCATGAGTAGTACAAACAAAGTGAAAAGAGATGACCCAATAATAGTAAACGGTGCAGTGGTTAAAAGTTGCTTAGGTACGCAAACGATCAGGGTCGGCTTCATAAATGCCTAGTTGGAATTATATATTTAAACAAGCGTCATGTTTTCTTTAATTCCTGAGAATGTTGAACTTTCTTTAAAGTCCGATGCTGGCAACATGTTAAATTCTGCATGTCTGCATCTCTTTCTGTTACACACCAATCGGTGTAATGTTATTCCTTTTTCTTTATTAGTGCCCGCTGCAATTCCTACATGACATCTCTTTTCTATGTTTACGATATTCTCTCTCTACAACGTATGTCGTGTGTAAAAGTAGGCGTACTGTCAACAACCGCTCTAGTCTAGTTAGTAAATTGAAAGAATAAAGTAAATGCGATAGTGTTATTGCTAACTATACCAATTTTGAACGTCTAAACTATAGGTATCTACAGCAAGCTATCAGGATGTCGAACAACAGTATGAACAGAAAACAAAAATTGTACATATTTCAAATATTATTGTGAAAATTCATCGTCAATTTATTTTATGAGGGAAAAAATTCAATAAGAAAATAATCCCCTGTATAATTGCATATTAAAATAATATCAAAAATTGATATTTTCTTTAGGCCTTTTACTTGAATATTGAAATAAATTGTACAGTTTTAGGAAATAACTAAATACGTATAGGTAAAAATTAAGATTTTCATTTTTTTTGTCAAAGAAGAAAAATTTTGCTATACCTATCTTAAATTTTTAACCCCAAATTGAACTGAAAATACTTCAAAATAAATTTAAAAATTTACTGGACCCTTTCATATGATACGGTATCATTGATGATCCACTTGTCTAGCTATGGTATCCTTTGTAAAAACCACAAATTAGGGATGTAAACAATTCAATAACTGCTAATTAAGTTTTAGTACACCATACGAATTAATACAAGATGCATTGTACACTTATAAATTCAAGCACCTTTGTGACATACTGTACATAATTTTCGGGTAGGCACAAAAACCGGAATATTCAAAAAGAAAAACTCCAAGCGCACCAACAATTTTTTCCATCTTTTTCATTCCTCTCTCTACGGTTACGTCTCTGCCTTCCGAATAGAAACTTAATTAACATTTATAAGTACATATGTTAATCAATTGGAAATTGAATAATTATTATTGTCATTTCCAAAATTGTATGCATTTATTTAATATTAGAGAAGCAGGGAAATTTATTTTTGTTACCTATTATTTATCTTTAACAATTGCAACGTTTTGATTATTACATATTTACTCCTCATGAAGTTTTTGATGTTTGCTACAATTCACTCTGATGATGTTTTATTAATATTGGATTTGACGTGTCAAATTTATCGCTCTGTATCTAGTAGATTATAGATGGTGTAGTTTATAAAATTTTAATGTATAATCTTCAACATTTGTCTCATTATTAATTAGTAAATTATGTTGTTTATATTTAATTTAATTAAAATTTAGTTAGATATTCGCAATAATTGTTTAAACTGGTTAAATTCAGTATTATTTCTTTTGTTTTAAGTTTATATAATATGGTAATGGACACAAACCAAGTCTTTCTCCGAACGTGCGTAACCTGAAGAGGAACCCATCGGGCCTACCATCGAATTCATCCCTGGTAAGTACTTCTTTGACCGCTGCGGACCCTGACACAGACACAAGCAACATGTTCCCTAGTCTCAAACCAGTAATTTCGCCGTAAGTCTTAGCAAAATCGGCAAGAACCAAATGGCAAAAGCCAAATTTTCTTTTCTCTATTTGAAATGTCGGAAAGTTGCCGACAAACGGCAGCCATTTTGGCCCTACAACGTTTAAGGGCACATTCAAAAAAAAAGTAGCACAATTTTAATTTTTTTGGATCGCAATAATATTCCAATTTGATAAACAGTCTTAAATTGAGAGTAAAACAATTGCTTTCTAATTTTTCAACTAGAAATATCCTTAATCTCTAAAGTTTCCCGATAAAATTTAGATAAAGCTCTAATCGCAATCCCTTCCAAATTTGAAAGGAAATCCTTAACAACTTTACGAGCACACATAAAATAAATAAGAAAATTCGCTTTTCTTCCTTTTGGTGTAGAAAAACCTTCATATTTCTGATAAAAGCTGTTAGATTACAGACATTTTACATGTATTTGAACAAATTATTAAATATTTGGCATTATTATTTTTTAATTGCAAAATTAAAAATGCATAAAATCTCAAAAAAAAAATGTTTACAAATCAGATCTCTAAAAGCGAAAGTATTTTGTGCTTCAATTTTTTTTTTCGTTTTCAAACAATCGACGAAAAGTTGAAAACAAAAGAGAATTAAAAACAAAAAAGTATTAAAAACTAAAAACAAAAAAGAATTAAAAACAAAAGATATTAAAACAAATGAATGCGTAGTGTTAAATACCTGGTGGAAACCGATGGGGTCGTCTAATATCGACCAAGATAACTATGATAAGCACAATAAGTATCACCGCGGCAGTAAGAAGCATGTTGAAAACTGAACTTGTGAAGATAAAGTTGAATAGCCAAAAGACAACCGCATATATGACCGGTTTTTTATATTTAAAACCTAAACAAAACCTACAAAAGGTATGACCCCCACATTTGACCCCTTTTTAGAATATCAATAGTACAACTTTTAGAAAACGCTTCGTTTATCTAGTTAAACATTCAAGAAATATTTACATAACTTAGATCTTAACAAAATGTGTTAATTTTGTTTATAACTAATTATAGGTACGCCCGTTCAAGCTTTCTCCATTCATTTTTTCTTTTTTTATATGTATTAGAAGAAGCAACTTTTTCTCAATCTACATACATAACATAGATCCTATAAACTTTATCTAAATATCTTTCTTCGTTCAATGTATTGTATTGTAATACAAAAAAGCTGATAGCAATTTGAGTAATTTGAAAATACAAAAATATTTACGTAATCAGATATTAAAACTCCAAAAGTTCCTTTTTAAAGGAAAGCAATAGTTAAAACGGAAAATTGAAAAAATAAAACAACTTTTTATATAATATAAAAATATCATGAATTAAGCAGAAATACATAAGAACTATTTTGTTTTTATAAAACAGCGAGCACATTGCTCTTCAAAATTACTAATTTTTTTACACTAAAATCATTTTAATCTTTAATTAATATTAATTTGAACGTTCGCGTACACTACTACCTATT